CCCCCGGCGGCCGCCGGAGCCCTGGGAGGAGGGCGGTGAGCCCCGGCGGGGGCTCCGCTCTCCCCCCGGCGGCCGCCGGAGCCCTGGGAGGAGGGCGGCGAGCCCCGGCCGGGGCTCCGCTCTCCCCCCGGCGGCCAGAGCGCAGGGGGAGGGCACCGGGGGGGAGGGCGGCCAGAGCGCCGGGGGGAGGGCGGCGAGCCCGGCCGTGGCCCCGCTCTCCCCAGGGGCCGGAGCGCCGCGCCGCCCCCCCTCCAGGTGCCGCCCCAAGCACAAGCTTGGTGGGCTGGTGCCTGGAGCCGGCCCTGCCACTGGGCATTATGGTTAGAATGGCCTGGAAGACAGGAAACCTGAGTTTTAGTAATTGCTTTGCTGTGTGACCTTGGCCAAATCATTTCCCTTCTTTGTGCCAGTTTCCTACCTGTAAAATGGGGATCATAAAGTTTATCTACCTTTGTAAAGTACTCTTAAGACCCTCAAGTCATTTTACATTACCAGACAACAAATGGTAGTAAAAATATTTGTTCACCACTAACCGGGGTCCGACTTTAATCAGTGACTTAGATGTGAAAGACTGTAATTTTAATAACTATCCCCGCAAACTGGTAATGACGTTCATGCATGTCAGAACAATCTAGTTATAAAAATCTGAGTTACTTTGTGTATATGTCTTGTGTTATGGTGTATGATGATAATCTGCTGTATCTCTACTCTTTAATAGGTAACCTTCCACCCATTCCAGCTTTAGAACCTTGCTTTTGGAGGGAAAAATGTATGACTGATTTCACAATGGGAACTTTTTATTTTAAAAAAGAAGCTGCTTATCAGTCCAAAAGAAAAAAAAATAAAACTTAACTGTGAACACTCTAAGCATAAGGTGCTTTGAATTGATTGACATCCTAGTAAAATTTTACAGCACCGAAAAAAAAACCATATCAAAAGCAAGAAACTGTTCCTTCCACTCCAGGGAAAAGCACACAGATCCCTTTTGCAAATGAATGATACATATGCCTTGCTGTAATAAAAGCAGCAATGAATATCTGTTCAGTCAACTCTCATGGGATAGAACAAGTGCTTAGTCTGTCAAATGGGGCACAGAATGACAGTGGTCCCAGTTAGCATTTACATCTCCACAGGAGCCGCCTGTGTGTCCCCTGCTGCCAAATAGGCACATATGGTATATAGCTAACTATTAACAGAAGTGTGATTATATGACCCTTACAGCTGTTTCCATACCAGCAACAAAAGGCAGCTGTTGGGAATGTTTAGAACCCGTTTCACTTCACTTGTGGTCCAGTGCAATGTTTCCAGCAAAAAGCAATTAAAGAGGGGAGCTGACACAATGAAAGCACAGTGGACGCCAGACAACTAAAGGTGGAAAAAATGCCTGAAGTGTTGACTTTAATCCTTCAGATTGAGAGTCAGGTCCATTTGTCCTAAATGATGCAACTGGTTTTTTACTTTCTCCATCATAATTTTTGAAAGTGAAAGTTCAAAATACAATAAGCATAAAGTACTATACTCCGTTTCCAGAAGGCTCACTCTATACCCTCTCAGGTGAGCATAGAGGAGGACAATATTTTGGTGGGAACTCTTTGGAATCGTGAAACTGAAGGTAAAATGTCAAGGGAAGCACAACCTAGTTTGAGACTCTGATTCTGCTAAGAAATTGTTGGACATGGTGCTGGCTCCAGTCTGAAGGATTTAGGGTATGGTATAGTTAGGTGAGATATCCCTTTCAGAGAAAACAAGGCTTATTTACAGAATAAACAGTGTTGAGGTAAAGCCTGACTGGAGGGCAAAGTACCTTCCTTAAGCTGACATGTTTATTTTTCTGAGCAAGTGTAAATTGCTTATTAGAGGTAAGGATTTGTTTTAGCAAGAGAGGCAGGTTGGGTGAGTGGTGGGAGAGTGGCGTGGTTATGTGAGGACCCAATTCTACCCTGTTCTTTCAACACCCGTTCTCTCCCCTCCTGCAAGACAATGATTGAATCTGAATAACATACCTATAGCAGAGAAGGGAAATGGGAGAGGAAGGAGGGAGGGTAGTTAATGAACAGGAAATGGTGGGAGGAGGGAGAGAATTAATGAGTAGGAGAGCTGCTCTGGTTTGATTGTCTATTGACACCCTTCGTCCACTCAAAAAGGACATTGTGTGCAACTGCCTTTTCGCTTCTAATAATGCTACTCTTTGACCAGTTTGCAGGAGTTTCCTACAAATTCCTACACCTTCTGAGAATTTCACAGTAGTGCTTAAATTAGAACTGACTGTAACATGGCTCATGCTGTATTCCAAATGATCTTATCCTTTTATACTGCTGCTGAAGAACCAGTTTTCATCCGTAAAGCAAATTTCTTATGTGTCAAACACTGTCTGACTGTTAATTTGCACAGATTAATTTTAGGCTTCATCTAAAAGAACTTGAATGAAGAGGACTGCACTCAAGCCTTCTTGAGAGGCCTTCTGTAGTGCAGTTTAGACAACTGTACTGTGAGAGAAGGATACTCAGCAGACATAGCCAGCTACATAGGTATTATTTTCACAG